AAAGACCAGATTCTAGCCCTAGCTGGCGTGGTTCAGTGGATTGAGTGCTTCTCTGCAAACCAAAGCATCACCAGTTCAATTCCCAGTCAGGGCACATGGCTGGATTGCAGGCCAGGTCCCCAGCAAGGGGCACGCGAGATACAACCACACACTGATGTTTCTCTCCATCTCTTTCTCCCTCCCTTCCCTTCTCTAAAAATAAATAAATAAAGTCTCTGAAAAACAAATGAACTCAAAATCTATATTAGATAGCTAAAAGTAAGCAATTAGCATTCATTAGATTGACAAACACGGTCCATAATTTTTAGAAACATACGCTTCTTGATTGGCAAACACACTTTTGAGAAACATATGTAGCTCACTGATCTAGAAAGTTTGAACCCCTAAAATAAATTAAATTGATTTGCTCAGATAGCTAAAGTTTTTCTCTCTTGATAAGATTTACCTCCCAGAATTTTGCATTTTAAAAGATGATCCAGATAAGAGTTTTTGGAGACCAGTTATATGCACTTCAAAGGCAGACTTTGGTTTCATAAAGCCAATTATCTATAAGCCCTTTCCTTGAGGAATCCAGAGACATTTTTTTGCCAGTTGACAAGTCTGAACCTAAACAGGGTTTCTCAGGGCACTGTAGATGGAGACTATCATCTGTTGTCTTTGAGGAGAGATAACTTTTGTCCCTGTAAAAGAAGGAGAAAAATCTTTCTTTCTAGTAAAAGAGGGTTATATTGGGTAACTGATGGAGTCATAAACATGCTCAGCGCTCACAGACCAAGACCCAGGATGGCCTGTGGCCCATTTGCTAACCGAGGGGTCCCACAGCCTGTTCCCGCCTGTGCCGGCTGCGTGGTCTGTTCCACAGCCTGTGTCTTGCCTGTCCTCTGATGTGGGCAAAGACCTTCCTGAAGTGGCAATACAATTTGTCCAGGTGTGGAGCCTTACCAACAGTCAGAGACATGGCTAATTGAATTTATTTAAAACTCCACATGGGTGATTCTGATGATCTTTGTTTCAACTAGCCTTACCAGAGGTTCCCAACCTCGAGTTTGTTGCCTTCGGTAGAAAAACTTGTCCTACAATTCTGGTCTTTAGTTGGGTAAGTAACCTGCTTCCCTGTCTTTTGTATTCCCAACAGCTTGGTACTTCAGGTGGCCTAGTAATGTTAAGACAGCCACTCCCAGGAGGGCAGGGAGCTTTCCTGTTAAACTGTCCTAGCTGGCACGCAGAGGTTAACACCCTTGTCCTGGGGCAAATCCTCTTGCCCGCCTCTAGATAGATTAACAAACATTTAATCAGTCTCCAGATTAGTCTATACAAACCACCCATTTCTGTGAGCACTTGAATTTGAGGCTTCTTTAGTTCCTGTATACCTATAGGAGCATAAATGAGAACTAAGTGTTTGGTCATCCATGTGTTGCAGGAGATGGTGCTTCTTTAGTTCCTGTATACCTATAGGAGCATAAATGAGGACTAAGTGTTTGGTCATCTGTGTGTTGCAGGAGATAGCATAGAAGAAGAGACTGCCACTGCTGTTGCTGGCCTGCGGCTAGCATCCTGGTTGCCAGGCAACACTTTTAATACTTAGGTAGCAGCTAGGAATGAGTGGCCAGAAGGGAAATAAAGGCAGGGCCCTCACCATTACAATATAACAAAGAACTTAATACATGAGGTTAAAAGCAAAAGCTCACACACTGACCATGGTCTGATAAGGCTGCCTTCAGTCCAGAACAAGGCAAGTAAACTATGACAGTGTAGGGGGGAGGAGCCCTTGAAAGTCTATGTGTATCATCTCCATCAGTTGGGAAAAGGAGAACGTTGAGACTGTGTATTCATCCCTAGGCCTAGGAGAGAGAAGGGGAGGGGGACTACAGTGCCCAAAGAAAAGCTCCTAAAACAACTTTTTTTAATTGCCTGCTCCCCATCATCTGTACAAAATGAGCAAATAGAGTCTGGAGCAAGATAAGGATTCTGGCTAACAGACTCCCACCCATACCTATGTTTGGGTAGTCATGTCTCCTCAGAAAGCTGACATCACCTTTACCTGCCAATCAAACTGTAACTTCTTCACCCCCAGCCCACCAATTACATAAGTCCTCAGAACAAAGGACTCTTTTGCTCTGCTGGCCTCCCAGCTTCTAACCACCTGGCCCCTGGCCATCTGGGTGCTAGCCACTGAGCCTCTGGCCACCCTACTTTTACCACCCTTGCTCTAGCCACCCTTGCTTTTGCTCTCCCATTCACTAATAAACTTTGCTTGAATGTTAATAGACTCGCTGATCTGTAATTCTTTACTACATCTGCGAGAAGAACCAGGGTTTCTCCCATAACACCATAATATCGACAAGCCACTGAGTTTGAGGTAGGAGCTAAAAGCACAGCAGCAGCTGCAAGTCCCAAGTGGGTGCTCTGGCTTTGATGCCTTAGCAAAGTGAGTTTGCTGGGGTAACTGGGGCTTCGAGTTAGGGGAAGAACATGCAGCAGCTCCAGCCAGAGGCTTTCTCTGCATCCAGGCTGTGTACATGAGCAGCATTTTAGCTGGTGCCCGTCCATGACACCCAGTCCCTGACGCCCAGTCCCAGGCCGCACAGAGACAGGCCACTGGGCTAGGGAGTGCATGGAGCCATAGGCCCAAGTGGTCTGAGCCACACCGTAAGCCTGTGGGACTAGGCGCATCCACTGGTTGGAAGAGGGAAAATTCCCAAGATACTTCTGGGCAGCGGACCCAAGTTCAGTCTGAGCCCTAGAGATGGAAGGCCCTCCCTGCATGGTCTGAGCCAAGAGGAGACAGTGGGGAGGGGAAAAGGGGAAAAGGAGCTCTGTGCTCAGGTTGCCACTATACCCCTTGGAAGTGCTCAGTCATTCATTTCCCAGTTGCCTGGAGATTGGGAGTGATGAGAATATTGTCAGCTGATGGCTCACAGATGAAGAAAGGAGCTTCACCCCAGTTGATATCCAGTTCCCAACTACATTTAAAAAAAAAACTATGGAAGGAGGAAGCAATCTTAGTGAAGAGTTGGCAAGTCAGCACTTTGGTACCATCTGTGGTCCAAGCATTCTGGAGAATAATTGACAGTATAATCCAGAACTTTTCTTGCTGATCATACTCCTCAGCCTAGAAATACTACTTAAACAAACATTCCCCAAAATTATTAAGAATGTGCACAGACACAAGCTATCAAGATTTTTATTCAATTATTCAGTATGTTTCGTTAAGAAACAAACTAAATCCTCATACCATAAGGGCTTGTTGAGTAATGTATACCATAGAATACAACAAAGCCATTATAAAGGAGGTGGCATCAGCTCTATTGATATGAGAACTAATCTCGGTAAAGGGCTGAGTGAAGAAGGCAAGTTATGAAACAGTATATATTTTACTTTTTTTTTTTTCAAATCATTATATAAATGCACAGGAAACACCTATAAAATGATATACCAAAATACTGACAGTGACTACCTATGATAGTGGTGGGTAGGTTAGGTAGGATTTTAATTCCATTATTTTTATTTTATGTATTTATTGAATGATTTATAGAACATACATGTTTACTGTATTATTAAAAGACCAACAATTATTTTAAAAATAAATGACTCCAGTTGTCCTCAATTATAAACTGTGTTGATAAACATATTACAAACTCTCAAATAATCCCCATTTCAGAGATAGAACTTCAACTTTCCTCCCTATTATATTTGTGTTTACCTCCTGTCACATATATTTATGGGGAGAAATATTTAAGTGAGAAAAATAAATTTTTGGTTCTCACACAAAGACCAAGCCCATGTTTGTTCTATTGGGGGCTAGTGTTCATTTTCAAATTTTTCACAATAAATAACCAAATGGTGTCCTGGTTAATCTTTTATCTGTTAATCAAACTGACAAGTATGCCTGATTGATTACACTTTTGTGTAATAATCAGTATATAATTTAAATATTCAAAATAAGCATTGTTTAAATTTGTAAAGTCATCTCCAAACTCCTTTTACCTTCTTTTGCACTTAAAAAAAGTTTTCCATAGCATTTTTTCTCCTTCTCTATGGAGAGTTTCATTTCTAACCCCTTCCCCCAAAGAATTCCTATTATGCCAAAAAGGTAAACTAGGCTAGCAATGCCTTTTAATGGCCTTTCCTTAAGTTTCCTTAGTGTGGAAGCTATGCTAAACACCAGTCTGGCTTCCTTAAGGGCCAAAAAAGTTTTGCTTTATACAGCAGAAACACATAATGAGTATTTTATTGATACTCTTGGGTGGGTCAATCTATTGGATTCCTTTAACTCTGTTGACATGGGGTAGCAGTGCAGACAAAGTTACACTTTCAGGAAGAGATGGATGTCTGTCCCCTTCTTCCCCTCTCATCTACCCACACACCTTGCTTCTGTGTCCATAGCTAATGGGACGAAATAAAAATTATTGGTTTAATTTTCTTCTTTGAGAAGCAGGGACAATGGTACATCCAAAGGAGATTTACCTCTTAAGCATTCCAACTGTTCCTTTACATTCCTGAGTAGTGAATGGACAACTAACCGGAGCCACCTTTTCCAGGTGCAGAGCTGGTGTACAGCAGTGGTGTCATAACAGACTGACAACCAGAGTTTTGGGATTTTGACCCTCCCACCTTAAGCCCACAGCCTCCTTGAAAGCAGCAGCAGAGTATTCTTGGTCTCAGGATACCTATGATGTCCTGGGAAGTGAGGCAAGCCCCACACCCACAGGTATAAAATACTTGGGGTTGACTAGCTGGTACCTCAGTCATAACAGCAGAAAGAAACTGTATTTCAGGTGCTACTTTAAGCAGGGTTCTGCTGCGAAGCATCATGGGTGTTAAATCTGAATATCTGTGCCATGGCGTGGTAACCAGAAAACAAGGATCCAGACGTTGTTTGCCTGCCTTTCCTTTTTATTTATTTACATCATTATTATCTTATTTTCTAGAGTTTAGCTAAAAACAGAGCAGAAAGGCTTTTTCATTAAAAAAAACTCATTACAATTTTCCATATCCTACTTTTCTAGATTGTTCAAAGGTCCCCTTTCATCACAAATATTCTACAAACAGTAAACACATAAAGATCTTTTAAACATTCATTCCTCTTGCTTTCCCCCTTAGAAGCATATTTTCAATCACATTTTTAAAAAATTGCTAAGATTCTAACTACAGAAATCAAACTGAAAGAAAACATATTGTAAAAAAAATTAGGTGCTTTGTTTGCAATGCGGCATTTATTTTACAATGCACATAAGAGGTCAAGTTGAAAGAACAAAAGCATATTTCCCCACATGGAGCTCCCATAGCGTGTGCACACAGGCTACTCTGAACACAATACAACTTTTTTGATCAGCTTTTGTAAGCCTTCCATACCAAAGGGCATTCCTACCACTATGGCTTGTAGTGGCTTAAAAAGAAAAAACTGAAGCGTATCATTAAGAAAAGTACTGCGATGTGTCTATGAAGGGTACTGTAGTTTTAAGACAAGGGGTGTGTGGCTTTCCACAGGCTGTCTGGGCGATGCCTGGCCTCATCCTGAGAGGAAGTCTCCGTTTTGTAAAGCAGTTAGCTTACACTCTTTTTGGGTTTGTTCTCTTTTGGGCACTCCTAGCTTTAATGTTCTTCTTGGGGCTGGCTGGTTTGGGAGCGGGTGGCTTTTCCTTTGGTTTCGGAGGATTACTACGACTGGTGCGCCCTGCTGTTCGCTTCTTGTCCTGGATTGTTCTCTGCTGTTCTCGCAGTCTCTCTTCCCACTGCTGGGAGGCATTTGTAAACATGATTATCAAGTACATCTCACCCCTTTATGTTATTAAACTAATATCAGAGCTAACAAAATTTTTCCACTGTTACATGCTAATCATGACAAAAGTTACAATAGCTACTCTATATTGTTGAGCACTTACCATGTACCAGAGACTTTAGAAAGTGCTGAATGTATGATGAAACTTTGACATGCATTCATTTCACTGAAACTCACAACAGACCTTATAGGTGTGCACCATTGTCACAATCAGGAAACAAGCACACCAAGGTTATTTGCAAAAGGTCACACAGATGATAAATGTCAGAGCTAGAATTCAAATTCACCAGTCTGGCTCCAGAGCCCAAGGCCTTAACTCATTCAGTTTTTCCCATTGCCCACTAATGCGACATCCTACACAGCAAAGCCTTCTAAAAAGCGTTGACATGGATAAAAGAAGAAATTTATCCAGCCTCCCCAGAAATCAGGGGCCTCTTACCACACTTACAGATTCACTTAATTCTCTCACATCTAATAGAAGACAGAAGCGCCACCTACAGCTGGTAATCCACTCAGTGTTAGCTACCCAGAACTGATGGGAAATGTGTCATTCTGGACAGCCAAGTTTACTTGATGAAAAAGAACTTACTATTTATAACATAAATAAATACTATTTATTTAAACGGCTACATATAAGAAAAAATGAAAAAGTGAGTCCACTTAAATAGACATTTCTCTTTATTATACTACATATGTCCCTACTTTGTCAGTGTATACTTCAATCAGCAAAGAGTTTGAGTATGACCGTAAGCCAGGCATTCTTCTAGGAATGAGAAATATGATGAAACGAAAAACACCGTCCCCACCCTCCTAAGGTCTTCTAAGTAATAAAGTCATCATTGTATGTAACTACTGTGAGGTGATATTTTCAAATTCTTACTGAAGTATTTTGTAATATTTGTTGCAAAAGTAAATGGTCCAAACAGCTGATTCTTGAAAGCTTTCTTTCCCTTCAGGTCCTTATGGTGGACTTAACTTCTTCATTGATGCTTCTAATCTACTGCAGTCTTAGAAATCAGATAACTAATTCTTCCAGAATTTTATATCTAGTAAGACTGAGGCATATTCTTGAGAAACTCATAAGTTTTTAGCTCAGATATAACAGTAGTATTAGGTTCTTTTATTCAGAAATGCACTGAGTAGGAGAGGCTATGTTATGTAAGTCAGTATTAATATATATAGTCTCCCCTTAACCTATTGTTTTATTCATGCAAAGAAATCATAGGCAGTAGCAATACCTTTGTGAACCTTAAAACAAATTCTCCTGAATATTTCTAAACATATTTTCAGAAGAGGATATATTTTAAAAATTTCAAACCAACGACTATATTTTCTAGGTTCTAGTATGACTTCATATGTCTGGGCAAAAAATTATTCTAACTCCTCTAATTGGATTACCAATATGTTTATGATATTACCACTTAAAAGACAGACAGTACAAAATGCAAAATAATTACTTTTTGTATATGACTTATTTTGATAAAAGTCTTAAAATTATTTTAAATACAAGAAAAGGTTCTACTTTGTACAGTGATAGGATGAGTTTTAGAATTAGGTGTTCACACTCCTATATATGTGAATAAAACACGTCTATTTTAATCCCTCTGGATTATAATTCTGCTCAAGTACCTGACTGTTTGCTGAAACAATTAAATGTAATAAAGAAAACAAAAATATTAATTTAATCTGGAAATAGCCAGGAGGTCAGTATTGAATGCAATCAAATTGTCTTTGAAGTTGAGAGAGATTTATTATAAAAATTCCAAGTGAGAAGAGCTATACTTGTAACTACCTACTCAAAAGAATGAAAATAATTCCCAAATTCTACAGAATTTCTTTCCATGAACTTACATCCATATTCCTAGTATTGCTAGTTATACTTACTATGGATCTTTTACTAAGCTGGTCTCTCCATTTTTCAACTAAACAATTTTCAAGAAGCATCATCCTGAAAAAGAGTAATTTATCTTAATAAGCAACTTCTGATTAGGAAAGTAAAAAGTCTACAAATGCAAAAAATTAAAAAATTCTTCAATAACTTCACAATCCACCATTTATATTTTGTTTATATATCATTTCATGCTTCTTTATACCTATATACATATTTTATTTTTCTCATATAGTTGTTCTTTCTATTTCTTTTTATTTATTTCTATTTACTATATATACTATAGACCACATTGTATGTTTAGATCTTACTGTATATTTCTTTTTGTTATTGTACTAAACTGGGTGGGCAAAAGTAGGTTTATAGTTGTTCATATGGAAAATAATACAAAAATGAATAAGTAATAATACAAGAATAAATTCTGTGTTTTGTGCCCTCACAACTATAAACCTGTTTTTGTGCCATCCTGTATGCACTTTTTGATATTTTTGAATTAGAATTCAAAATGTAATTCAAAAATATAATTTTAATAACCAAATAATATTACAACTATGACTATCTATACTATATTCTATTTCTCTTGCTCCCTCTCTCTATGTAGATTATATATTTTATATATATAAGTATATACATATTCATACACACACACAGACATACATACATTCAATGCATAGTGACAAATTGTTTTCAAAATGATTAAATGTTCACTCAATTCATGAACATTAAGACTAGGTAAAAGTTAAATCCTGTTTTTATTTGGATGGGAGAATTAAGGAGATAAAAATTTTTAATGTTTTATTTACTATTTGTATTTCTTGTGGATCTTGTCTCTATAGATACATGTACACAAAGTGAAATAAGCCATTAAGTGAAAGACAAATACCTTACGGTCTCACTTATATGTGGAATGTAATGAACAAAATAAACTAATGAATAAAATAGAAACAGAAGCATGGATCCATGGAACAGACTGATAGCTTTTAGAGGGGAGGGAGAGAAGGACAGAATGGAAGAATGTGAAGGAATTAGCCAAAGAACATATTTGCTTGACCCATGCACACAGACAACAATATGCAGATTGCCTGAGGGAGGAAAGGGAGGAGCTGAGTGGAGGTGGGCAAAGGGAGAAAAAGTGGGCACAACTGTAATAGCATAAACAATAAAAAAGGTTTATGTATATATATTTCTATGTTACAGGTTTACTGTTATAATATTAACTTATGTGAAATCTTTAGAGAGTAAGATCACTATTCTTTTGTCATACCTGTTGTATTTCTCAATTTTTCTCTTTTTATTTTTATTTGTGATTTTAATATACATGCTAGTATGTGGTCAAATATGTTGTACTGGCATTTTCTCTTGTAATTTCTTTTTTAAATAATGTATTTCCCTTGCTATTTCTACATTACTTTTATGTTTACAAAGTATTTTGCCATTCAGATATCATACATTTATTTACTTAATTTTTTCTGTTTTGATTGTTTTTAAACTATTTAATCTCTTTAATACATTTGAAATATATTTTAGAGTAGAATATAAAGTGAAATTGTGTACCATTTTCCCAAATAAAAATATTTGCAACCTTCACTAAATAATATTTTTATTCTCCATTGACTTGCCATATTTCTCATATAACATAGGTTCTTTTATGCATTAGGGTCTGTTTCAAGATTTATCTCTGCTTTAATAATCTTTGTTTCATCCCCCATGAAGCAGTAGCCATCTGGCACAAGCAGACCACTACCCTGAGCAGCAGCAGCATGAGAGGACCTGATAACCCCACCCTCAGGAGGGACAGTTCCCCACCCTGTGGTGTCTAGGCTGGCTTGCTGAGTGCAGAGTGACTAGATTAAGAGCTGAAGGAGACAGCCAGACAGTACATTCCTGGAAATCTCGAACAGACTGTCCAAGGTCGGACAGGGTCAACAGCTGATCATCAGAGGCAGACCCAGAAAGAAAAAACAGCAGTCTCCTACAATAGAAGTTCACACCACAAAGTCTGGAAGTCAAGACAGATCAATTCAAGAAGCAGAAGCAGAAAAGAAGGGTCTCACAAATAATGGGAAGACAAAGAATCACCCCCTAGTCAAAGGGAAAGGAGGAATCCACACAAAGAGAACTAAATGAAATACAGGCAAGTAAACTATCAGATACTGAGTTCAAAACAATGGTTCTAAGGAAGCTCAGTGAGCTCAGTGAGCTCAGAGAGAATTACAAAAAACCACAGGGAAATTAGGAGGAACTTACCACAAACTATATCAGCATGAAAAAGGACATAGAAACTATCAACAAGAGACAAGAGGAAATGAATATAATTTCTGAATTTAAGAACACAGTAGAAGGAATCAAAAGCAGGCTAGATGAAGTAGAGGATCAAATCAGCAAGCTGGAGGACAAGGTAGAAAAAACTTCCTGGAAAGAGCAAGAAAATGAAAAAAGACTAAAAAAAAGTGAAGAGGGATTTAGGGAAATGCCAGACAATCTGAAACATAATAATATCTGTATAATAGAGAAACCAGAAGGAGAAGAGTAGCAAGGGATAGAGAACCTGTTTGAAAAAGTAATGATGGAAAACTTCCCTAATTTGAGGAGAGAGAAAGTCATACAGGTTCAGGAAGCTCAGGGGGTCCCATTCAGGAGGAACCCAATGAGGCCCACTCCAAGACACATCACCATTAAAATGGCAAATATCAAAGATGAACAGAGAATCCTAAAGGCAGCAAGGCAGAAAGTAGTAACATATAAGAGAGCCCCGATACAGCTAGCAGCTGACTTCTCAATGGAAACACTGCAAGCCAGAAGGGAGTGGCAAGAAATATTCCAAGTCATGAAAAGCAAAGGCCTGCAACCAAGACTGTTCTACCCAGCAAGCCTCTCAATTAAAATGGAAGACTAAATAAAAAGTTTCCCAGACAAAAGAGCACTAAAAGAATACACCTCCACCAAATCATTGCCAAATATGCTAAAGGGACTGCTTTCAGAAGATGAAGAGTCTATCAATACCCAGTTCCTTTCACAGTCACCAATACTTGATATTACTAATATTTTTAATACTTATTAATCTGATTGTGACAATGATGCATTATTTTAATTACTTTATTATTTGTTGAAACTAAACCTGTTTTTGTATATTTCTTGCCTATTTCTATTATTTTTAAAAAGCTTTAAATGACTTTTAGTATTCTTTATCCATTTTTTTATTAAATGTTTGTAGAATTTTTTCCCTAAAAAAACAAACAAAAAAACCCTATTAACTCTTTTTTAGATGTGTTGCAAGTACTTTTCTATTTTATTACTTGTCCTTTAACTTTCCTTATATGTATATTACTATATAGTCTTAAGTGTTTAATATAGTCATATTGTCAATATTTTACTTTATGGCTTCTGAGTTTGAATATTTTACTTCAGGGTAAGAAAAATATTAGTTTGTATTTTCTCCTAAAACTCCTTAGATTTTACATATTGATTTTTAACTCACCTGAGTATTTTTTGTATAATGTATGAAATAAGGCTCTATATTTGTTTTATTTCAAGTAATAGTGGTCTATGCACCTTATTTGTTGAGTAAGCATTATTTTACCCATTGATTTGAAATATCAATTTAATCATGTATTACATTTTAGACAGATATATATGTTTGTTTCTAGAATGCTCATTATATTTCATTGATCTACTTGATTATTTCTGTGTGGATGTCATATTTTCATTGCTGAGACTTTATAATGGATTTAATTTTTTAAATATTTTATAATGGATTTTGACATTTAAAATAAGTAAATAAATAAAATCAATCTGCATTTAAAAAACAAAAAGAAAGAAGGAACTCCTATCTTTTACAACAACATCGATGGAAGTGGAGAACATTATGCTAAGTGAAATAAGCCAGTCGATGAAAGACAAATACCATATGATCTCACCTAAAAGTGGAATCTATTCAACAAAATAAACTACTGAACAAAATAGACCATAAGCATGGAAACATGGAACAGACTGGAAATGACCAGAGGGAATGGCGAAGGAGGACAGTGATGGAAAGGAGAAGGAACTAAACAAAGAACATGAATGAATGACCCATGGACATAGACAACAGAGTGGGGATTGATTGTGGGGTGTGAGGCAGGTTGGGATGGGTGGAGGAGGCAAAGGGGAAAGAATTGAGACAACTGTAATAGAAAAAACATGATTTAAAAATAAAAAAATTTCAAAATAGAAGATGGTGCCATTTTTTAAAACCATGATTACTAAATGGGGCTTGTGTTTTTGTAAGCCATGTGCAGATTCTTCTATCCTTCCATGCCTACCGTGAGCGCCACTCATAACACATGATGAGAACATCTTGATGGGGCAGGATGTGAGGACACTGGCAAGAAGAATTCGTAATGAGTGGGACTTGAGTTCGCGGGATGGGTGATGAGGACTTGAAGATCTCTTTCACATCCACCACTGTCGTTACTTCATTACAGCCACTCCTCTGTACAGCTTTTATTTTGGCATGTATGACTGAAATTTAAAAATTGATGTAAGTGTTGTTGAAGCCTTTGGAGAAAAATAGAGATGGCATATTCATGCCAACTCCTGAGCCTTTCTTAAAGAATCATTCCTGTAATTATGGTCATGTCCAAGTTGCCCAAATGCAGACAAAGAGCCCACAATCCCATGTTAAATATAAAGCCTTTCATATTGTCAACATTGTCTTGAAAGTTCTGAATCGTGCTGCAAGACATAAAAGTACATTGACAAGCAGGCTTAGTCTGGAGTCTGCCTTTGGGTCAGTGATTGCTCGTTAGGCAATAGATAAGCTTTGATTAGAGAGTTCCATAGGTCCTTCTCAGTTCTAAAATTAGGTGGGTTTTTTTGTTTTTGTTTTTGGGGTTTTTTTTTTATGTTTTTTTTGCCAAAAACATGTCAGGAAATTTAGTTACATAAGACTATCAGTAAAACTTTCATAGGAACAAATATTTGTTTATAATCTGCCTTGTGATGATTTGAAGTGAGAATCATGTATTCTCAAGACCAGAAGCCAAATTAACATTTGTATGGTTCAATTACCAATCTGAGATTTGAACTTTCTTTGTTCCAGAGTAAGTCATTAGAGTCAAACCATTTTAGACTGGATGGAGTCTCTGAAGATCACTGATCTCAATCCTTAAATTTCCCATACTGTCAAAGTGAGGCCCGTGGTGGGTCGAGGTAGAACTCTTATTACAGAGGGCTGTTTATGTTACTGTGTCTGATCAAGTTTTAAATTCTGGTTCATTTTGTTCCTTGTTATTGCTGTCTACCATGGAGTTCTAATCAGACTAGTATGGATCTATCTTGGACTCTATCCTAGGAAGCTAGTTCATGAAGAAGCCAAAGGATTTAAATAGAAATGGTTTCATCATCAAAGTAGTTATGAGGCCATGACACCGCAGAGAATAGCATGACAGTAAAACTCAGATGATGGACCAAGTAAATCAGATTAAGGCGATATGAGTCTATCTACATAGAAAGGGTTTTAAACAACAGCAAAAAGCAACTAGAAAAGAAAATGTATTTTGGGGGTTGAATTACCCACATTAGCTATGATGATTCTCAAATCTGACAACCTAAAAATAAGGTTATTTTTTCAGACTTTTATATTGTCATGATTTTCTTACTATTGTTTACATATATAATATAAAGATTCTTATGATATAAAATATCACTTCAAATATGGAAAACTAAGTTAACAAATAAAATGAACATTTTTTCCCCAAAACAGTTTTTGTTATTTTAGCAGAAATTATTTAAGAAATTCAAAGAAACATAAAATATCCCAAATGGATATTTTAAAATAAGAGCATATTTTTAATTAAGTTTAGTTTCAAGTGATGATAATATAATTAACTTAAAACATTCAAAATAGAATGATTGACTTATTCTTTGAAGAAAGTGCTGACTGGTTGTTTGTTTGTTTTTTTCAAATAAGAAACAAAAGGACATTTAAACCATGTTAATAATTATAGCCATAGGCTCTTGTGATTAACATATTTCTACATCTTCTTTTAGATGTTAAATATTCACAGCTATTTATAAGTAAAAAGATACAGGGGCAGATCTTAATTATTGGTCCTCTGGGCCTATGATAACCAAATCCATGGATCACTCATCCAACCTTCCTCCTGCAATGAGATCTTATGAAAAGAACAAGTGTGGTGGGCTGTCTTGGCTGAGCAGGACCTCTCACCAAGACAGGTACGATCACAGTGTCAAACTTGCAATCTGAGCCACATCACTGGTCTCATTTGTGTAATTTACTTTTGTATTTATTTGATTTACCCAGAAAAGCAAGATATTTTACAGTTGTTATTATGCCATGTAAAACTCTTACAGTTAACTAGAAAAATCATCAAATCTCTTTGACTTTATGACCAGCACACCTGGTTTTGGAATGTGCCCAGGTCCCAAGAGAATGGTGTCATTAGATGACTTACCATAACTGTAGTTTTTACTCAGATACGTTGCCAGAGTTGGCTTCACTTTTCTGCATTTGCACCGGTCTAAAGAAGAAAAGAAAGAGACAAAATGTTGGAGAAGAATTCGGAGAAGTCTTTCTGGGGAGAAGGAAACTGAATTTTGAAGACAAAGAACTCACCTGGGCTTAGGCGTTTACAGTCAATGTCAAGAGGCCTTTCTTGTACCATCATGTCTGGAGTAATATCTATCCACTTAGCATCTGAAACACACACAGGGTCACATGGGTGTGGTCAGTGATTTGGTCTGTTCACCCAGCTGGAATAAGGAATCGTCCAGAGACATAAACCAATACAGCATCACAAAAAAAAATACTGTGATTGTCATCTACTTCTTTCACATAGACATCGCTGGGCTTAGGAAAGACTTTCAGGTGATATTGCCTATCCAGCACAAATTGATGTGAACGCACATCCATTTAGCCTTCCTGATACATGTAGCCAGCTTGGACAAATTATGTCATTCCCTTTCAAATCCATTTAAAAATGTCGATTTTGTAAGTTGACAGCTTACATTAATAAAAATAACTAGCATATTTCCAAATCCCCACCTTACATTTTGCAAGGCAGAAACAATCCACAGCGACATAATCCAAAACAAGCACAATCCTTTATCATTTATATAATTCAAACAAGAAATAGTTTTTTGTAAAACTGAATTATAGAGGAGTTTCAATCTTTCCTTTCACTTTATTCTTTCTTCATATTTTAGGCAATGCGCTGAAGTATGCATAACTTGAGAAACTATACCGTAATCTCTTTAAATGTGCAGCAATCTGGGTCAGAGATAAAAAATGCAAAAATATTCTTAGGTTTCACCTCAACAAATGGATCTAAACCTGCTCTTTCTTCATAGGAAAACAAAACAAAACAAAACAAAAAATCAAAACAAAACAAAAAAACAGCAAAATGACCAAAGAGAAAAGAAGGAAGTGGAAAATGAGACCCAGTTAACTAAGATGCCACAGATGTTGGCTCCTGATCAAAGACCATGAAATATACATCACAATTTTCCAGGGCGACTAAATTTACAAGCTGCACAGCTGTGGGGGAGTGATGGCTGGAAATGCTTTTTCAAAAAGAGCTTTCAAGAGCTAACATTTAATGGAGAATCCTGGTGGGGTTGCTTTGAAGATTTTAAAGATTAAATGATAAATGTAAAGTGCTTAATGCTGGTTCAGACCCACCATAAGACCTACATACCTGTTTACTACTGCTGCAATTACTGTTCTGTTATTACTGAAAAATGAAACTGTCCCCCGTGACTCCCTTTGTAAGCAAAATCCCTCCTTCCTTTATGAGGTAAGGTGTCCTTCCTATCAGAACACCTCGTGGGAAATCAGACTTTTCCACAAGTAAAGTCACTAGCCCTTCCCAACTCCTCCAGCCCTCGAAGGGGGATCGGGGAGGGGGCTGAAGACCACACGCGGGTAGCTGTAGGTGTGGCAGCACGGTTCTCACATGACAGCGACAGCCAAGGGTGGCTCCTTACCCCCCTCAGTTCTTCCCCACGCCTCACCCTCCGGGAGGTCAGTGACGATGGCCTCGGGCGAGATACACACTCCTCGGTCATAGACTGGCAGGTCGTCGCAGGCCAGGCTCTCGGGCCAGCTGTGGTTGTACATCTTCATGAGGGGCTCGCAGTCATCGCGCGCTCGCTGGCACACCGATTTACACGGCTTGATGGGGTCGTGCAGGAACTCCAAGGTGCAGATGGGTGCGTACATGGCGCAGAGAAAGAAGCGCAGCACGGCGCTGCAGTTCACGTCCACCAGCTCCTCGTACTGCTCGATGGCCAGGATCGCGTTTTCCTGTGTGCTGTGGTGCAGGTGATTGGGCATCCGCGTGATGTTCCAGGGCATGTGGCGGCACATGGGGATGCGCACCGCCTCGCAGGGAGCGCCGCGAACGCCCAGGGCTAGACGCAGCCACAAGCATAGCGCGGCCAGGATGGAGAGAAGCATGGCACTGTCCTCCTGCGCCGCGACCCCGACAGGCAGAAAGGTCCCTTCTCTTTTCGCCCTCCTTCTAGTCTTTTTCTCTCCCCTCTCCGTGCAGGAAGTCCTTTAGGACACAGGACCCCGCAAACTCGCGTAGGCAGCGATGGGGAACTGCTGGGGCTGAAGGGTGAAGTCCACCGTCTGGAGCACAGTGCACCAGCAACTCCAGCCCTCAGCCTCCGGGGCTTGAACCCGGCCTGGCAGCTCCAGTCCCGGACCCGGCAGCTCCAAGCGCAGCCAGCTACGGCCATTGCGGGACCCTATTTATCCCGACACCTCCCCTGACGTGGGCTCCGAACGCTCCCTTGGCAGTTGCAGGCGCGGCAAGGGCTCCCCCCTCTACCCCCTCCGCCGCTCCACCCCCAGTTCTCTCTTTGCAGAAGGGTGACATCATCTCCTCCGGGCCACAGCCCTGGGCTGAAATCCGGCATTCCCCCCGAAGTCCCACCTTTTTGGTCTGCCCAGTCCTTTCTCTTCGGACCAAGGAAAAGCCCTTGGCAGTCGTTCTGAACACCGGATCCAAAAGAGTGCAAGAGAGGATTTCAGGAGAGGAAAAGACGCTCTTTGGAGTCCAAGCTGAACTTTGCGTCTTTTGCAAGTACACAGTTGGAGGGAAATGGGAACTTTTGCTGCCCTTTAATTCTGAAAAATACTTGCTTACTCCAGTAGGGGGCATGAGAAGCGCTGAGTAGCGAGATTTTGTGGGATGGGAGAGTTCAGTAGTAATTGCAGGAAGAGGATGGACACGTATGTAAACAAACCACCCCACCCCGCAGCACGTGGTATGGAGTTTGTTTTGTTGTTATTGTAGCGGCTAATAGACTTTAGTTTGGGCTCACGTTTTTTCAGGACAGCATTTGGTCTATACCTGTGCCAGGAACAGAACTGCCTGAAGATAACGATAGCATCTTTTAGTCGAAAAATATCTCCCATCTACCAACTTTTCTTTTTTTCTTCTTCTAACTCCCTATTCCTCTCTCCAACATGAATGAAACTCAGGGGAAAACAAAGAAAAGTCTGGATACCACAGCTTGAAAGGTTTTTTCCCCTTTCATGCCAAGTGATTCCAATCCAGCAACCTAAAATCTTGATTTTTGATGTGCTTGGAAACTGTTATATAAATTGGGTAAGAAGCTATGTAGCATGGAAAACAAGTATGTATTTTTTTAAACCTTATTTTGATTAAGAAGGTGGTAAAACCACTGCTTGCTCAGTGATCTACAGAAAAGGGCAGCATTATTGTTGTAAGGATACATGAATCTTCAGGCAGTAAGATTGTGGGTATATGTTATTTTCTTACGGCATTAGAATATGAAAAACATCTCTGAATGTTAATCTTTAAATACATAGTTTCATTGAAAATCTGAACTTAAGGAAGACAGACAGGTTTTTCTCTCCAAAACCTAGAACCACCAAGTTAGTTTAGTTCTGACTCTGATCAGGACTGAGGACTAAAACAGCCCAAGGAATAAGCAGCACAACCGACATACAGTGAGCATTTACAATGGGCTAGGCATGGTGCCAAGTGCCTTAAATGCATTATCTTATTGTGGGGGGAGGGAGGTAAGGGGAGACATGAAGTAAGTATGTAAGTTTAAAAAGTAAATGATACAAATGTATTGTATTTCAGGATTTACCCCAGGAGTCCAGTTTTATTTAGAGGAAGCCCCGACCAGTCCAGAGAGGTATTTCAGTTTTCTATGAGACAGATCTCAAGCTTCAAAAATGCCAAGCCAGGCTAATGAGATAGCAAGCAAAGGGGAGAGCCCAGTGAGATCTCAAGTATTTCCAGCAGTAAAATCCAACGAGAATAAACCTCTGGCTTAGTGAAAAAGATTTTCATCCTGAGTTCCTATGAGGGAAGAAAATACAGTTTTGAGGAAGAGCTGAACTGTCTGCCCTTTTCCTGCGAGTTAGTTGAGGAGGAGAAACTTGGAGAGGGTTCATTTGTATGCAGCCAGTTTGAAGCTGCTGCATTTGTTTAACTACGCAAGTACCAAGTCACACTTCAGGTGTTGCCTTGATGTTCTCCATGGCATATCTCTTAAGAAAGGATGGGAAGTTAAGAGTCCTCCATAAAGCTTTTCATTCATCCCATTATATCAATCTCTATCAATCAGCTAGGGAGAGGAGGAGCAGTGAGGGATTCATCAGGAGATTCTGTCAACCCACCTCCCTCTTCATGTCCTCCTTTAGCACTCAAGCCAGTAGTCCATCCTTGACACTGATTTGTCAAAAGCTTGTATAGCCGATTTAGTTGCCTTGGTCATTAGCTTCTCTCTGGTGATTTTCCAGCTGCTCCTCGGGGGGCAAAGTTGCCCCAGGTGGGTTGCCACTCTACTCTTTGGCTTCAGTGACGACTTGGATGCCAACGGTTTCCCATCCAGACCCCTACCTCTGCTGGTCCCTGGAAGTGCTTATTAAACTGTCTCTGGGCTGTTTCCACTGGTACATCCCATAATCATCTCAAAATCAACCAATCCTAACTGATTTTATCTTCTCTATCTCAAGACTATTTGAATTCCAGTGGCCCCAAACCAGAACTCTCTCTGAGTCCAAATCCTTCTCCATAGTTCACTCTGATCCACCCTCTGCATCCTGGCCACCACCACCTTACTTCTGGCAGTATGTCTTGTCTGGACTATGACATCATCTTCTTCCCTCCTTCTGCCTTGCCCTACCTATTCTCCACAGTGGCACCTGAGAGAGCTCCCCAAGGCATGTATACCTGCTGATGCCTCTCCCTAGCTTTGAATTTATCCATGGCTCCAACCACCTTCAGAATTCATTTTAAATCTTTAGAATGGCTTTCAAGACCCTGAATGATCTGCCTCCTTATTACCCTCTGCCTCGTAATTGAACCCCAATGTTACACTCATTTTCTGTTGTCCGCATGTCTTCCATCCAGAAATATTCTCTCCCACTTTCACCTGGCTCACTCCTCCTCATCCTTGAGACACAGATCAAAGGAAAAGATACTATAAACTTGGAAAACAAGGGTCTTTTTTGAAAGTTGCTACTTTTTTCTTGATTTCACAGTATAGATCCTAACAATACATAAACCGTAAACCCAGTTCACTTTGTCCTTGAAGATGCTGAACTCCCAGACCCACAGAGATCTAGGCTTGTGGCATTGTCAGGTGATGCCTGAGGGCAGCAGTGTCACTGCAAATGTGCCATGGAGGCAACGTCCCTGAGTCCTCAGGCCCACGGGGAGGGCCTATCCCCTCGTGCCCTCCGCTCCATGCTGAGAGCCTGAACTGGGGTGTGTTTATGATGAGTGATTGGTGTCATTTCTTCAGCAAGGGACCCTTCTTTACATTTTTAATTTGGAGGAAGAAGATAGCAATTTTAGCAAAGGCACGTGGAGCATAATAACAAACGCAGCAGAGCTGCTTTCCTGACCTTGACTTTGTCCCCCAGTGTGTGGGTTATCTGCTGAACCCTTAAATTATTGGAGAAACATATTCCTTCTCACCATCCCCTCCCCCTACGGGGATGCCCTTCAGGATGCTAGTGGCACCACTGCCACTGCATTTCCTGTTGGCAGCAGAGAGCAAGTGAAAGCTGAAGCTTCAGTGGGCAGCAGCCCTGGCAGAAATAGCTCCTGCGCGATTCACCGAAGCCTTCACAGGCCCCTGGTCCCGGCTCCTGGCTTCACGCGTCTTGATCCCCACAGCTGTAGGGGCAGGCCGTCGCAGGACAGACAGCAACTTGGCAGAGGCAGCATTCGGGCACAGCGCGGGGGAGCCCCGGGCAGCCGCCCGCCGCTTAGCCGCCCCTTGGGCTCGGCGGGCGTGGCAGACCGCGATGCCAGGGCGAGCTCCCCTCCGTGGGGCCGGGGGGCCCCTGGGCGCCTGGTTGCTGGGCGGCCTCTCGGTCTGGGTGCTGGGCGGCTTCTGCGGGCTGGGGGCGGCCGCGCTGCGAGCGGGGACCTGGGGGTCTCCGGGAACGCCTCGCCCCTGCCAGGCGCCGCAGCAGTGGGAGGGGCGCCAGGTGCTGTACCAGCAGAGCAGCGGGCGCAACAGCCGCGCCCAGGTCTCCTACGACGGGCTCAACCAGCGCGTGCGGGTGCTGGAGGAAAGGAAGGCGCTTATTCCGTGCAAGAGGTACGCGGGGAGCGGCGTGGCGGGCAGGGGCGGCCCAGTGGATTAAGGCTCCGGGGGCTGCTCTCGGGCGCCCGATTTCCAGTTATTCTCGGTGCCTCCCTCTTACCAAGAACGAACTTCGCCAGGAGGATCACTCGGAGGTAGACGGCACTGTTGAGAGATGGGTGGAGGGGCTGGCCCAGGGGGGGCGGACTGCCCTCGAGACCCCGCGGGGCGATGGCTGGTAAAAAAGGCAGTCCGCAGGGGCCAGATCACACTGCCCGCGCCCCGGACCCAGGCCTGAGGTTCTCGGAGCCTCCTTCAGCGTAGGGCATGTCTTCTGCACTGCTTCATTTCTTCGAAGAACAACCTGCCAGGGAAGCACCGAGAACGTATATTCTTTAAAGAATTAGTCTTTACATTTTAAAGCATATGACAATATTACAAAAAGTGGGGAGAACTGACCAAAGAAAACACCCACAAATTCATCCCCCTGTTACAACTATTAAAATTTTGGTTTACTCCCTTAGATTTTTTTAAAGCAAGTTCTACATACTTGGATCAAAAATGTATATTATCTATATTTTTAAAAATATATCATGATGTCTTATGTGCCCTTATTTGCCATTTTATTAGTTGACCTCCCATCTATTTTTAATGATGGCACAATATTCCATTGAAGGGCTATGCTATATATATTTTTTTAACCAATGGTCTATGATTCACCTTTTCATATCTGTTGTGACAAAAGACATCCCCTTTCTGAGGCCTGTCTTACTTCTGACCCCCTTAAGCCCTGGTTTCTATTTTGGGATCACCACCTGTCAGTTCCAGAGTCCTCCCCTTTCTCTGTATGTTCCTCTCAAGGTTATGTTAGTTTTTCTGTGTGGCATTTGCATCATCAGGAGGAGGAGCCATGTCCATGGTCTGAAGTGAATGTCTATGGTCTAAAGCCCTAGGAGGAGTAACATCTGCAGCAAATCTTGATATTAATTCACCTAAAAGCTTTTGTTGAGTATTAGACCTCTGGGAGAATATATAGGATCCTTACAAAGAGGTACTTTCAAGAGTACAAGATAATGTATTATGAAATATAAAACATGAATGCTGTGGAGGCCTGGAGCAGCCGAGTCATCATGGGGTCTGGGAATATCTGAGGCCTTTCAAGAACATGAATATTTTTTGTTAGTTCTCCAAGGACATAATAATAATAATAGTAACAATCAAAATTTGAACACGTTATGCACCAAGCATGGTGCTGAGGACTTTCCACATATTAATGAGATTTGGTTTAAATCTCAGAAGAACTTGACAGTGTAGGATTTACTATTCTCATTTTACAGAGAATCTGAGGTCTAGGGAGAAGAAACAACTTTCTTAAGATCACACAGCTGGGACTTGAGGAGGCAGGGTAGATTTTTACACTTGTAATATACCAGCCTCTCATTCATTCATTCATCCTACATGCATTTGTGTGTGTGTGGCATTGTTTATAAACAGAGTGGGTCCTGGGCTTCAGGGAGGTCATAGGCTAGGGCCAGAGTCACATAAATAAAAAATTTCCATACAGTGAGATGAGGGATGAACTGCATGTGCTGGGATGAGCACCTAACCCAGGCTTCCTGGAGAAGGTGAAACATGAGTGAGTCCCAAAGCTCCTATATAAGCTGACTAGAGGAGGTGTGGAATTATAGTTTGGAGGGATGAGAGTATATTCCAGGCTTGGCTTGTGTGTCATTCTGGAGCAGACATTGCTGAGTATATTCCAAAAACTGTAGGCCAATCACTGTTAGAACTGAAGCACAGAGTATGACAAGAGGTTGGAGGTCCACTGAAGGATTTCTAAACAATGAAATGCCATGATCAGATAATACAGAGATCACTAGATGCATTGAGAATGAAGGAGAGCAGGAGTAGAAACAAGAACATGCCTTAGAAAACTTTTGTAGAGGTCCAGGTGAAAGGCAGATAGTGGCAATGGCGATAATGAGAAGTGGACACACTAGGGATGTGGTGAAGGGGCTTATTGAAGGAGGTGCAGATGATTAAACAGTGTGTGGCTGAGGTGGTGATAGGGAGGGAAGCATCATTTGGTTTCTGAAGCTGACCCTATGATGGCATGGAATAGATGGTGACGGTGACACTGTTCACTGAGATAGGGTTTGGCTTTCTGAACTTCTGGCGAAGGGTTGATTGCTACTCTTTATGTGCATTTATGTGAAGGCTGGGAGAGTAGTGGTGTATTGATGAATAGTCATGTTGAAGGTGGACTGGATGGCCCAAAGCACAATGTTGAAGCAGAGGGGTGTGGCCAAGAGAAGGATAAAGGTCATCCTCCAGAGGCGCTATTTTCAAAATCTAAGAGATTAAGCTTTAGAGTCAGACAAATCTGGGTCTAAATCCAGATTTCTAATGTGGGTCTCTGGATAAATTACTAAGTTATTTAGGGCTTCCAGAACCTTAAGTTCCACATTTACAAAATAGGAATACCAATAATTCCTACTCTATTGAATGCTGTAGGGATTAAATGAGTTCAAGTGTGTTTAGCACATAGGGCAGTGTCTGACACATAGAGGTTGCTCAGCAATGGCTGTGGTTGTCCCTGTCACCTCCATTGTCATCACCCTGATGAATTTACCATGGCCAAAAAACTTGCTGCCAGCCCTGTGGGCTCAGGAACCTGATCTCTCAGAGTACTCAAGGGCCCTTCCTTTGGGAGCTGAGTCAAGTAAGCAAGCCCAAATGCTAAACTGTATATTTCAATGAGTGCTCTAGCTGGCATGGGGCCAGAATTCTCAAATCTGCAAGACTAGGTCATTTTCTCCCTGTAGGCAGAACTTCATGAGAGCCAAATTATAATCAGGAGATTGTGAGCAAAGAGCTGGAACAAATTCACTGAATCTAATGTTTGCCTGCTCTAGGCTAGACTGTATGCTCAATATTGAGCTTTTCATCATGAATAACACAGGCCAGCTCAGAGAAATCTGGCTAAAATAAAATGATGCATTCATTTTCACCATAGAGATGCTGTCTCACTGGCTCATTGCTGGTCCAGATTCCCCGCCATCCTGCACAGAGCTTTGGTGGATTCTACTCAGGTCTGTCTTAGCAACTCTTCTTCTTCTGTAGCTCCACAGTTGACTGATATGGTCTTTAGATGCACGTATTGTATCTTTAGTGGGACCATACTAAACCTTGCTGGCCTAGAAGACTTTTTGTTCCATGTGGTATTTTCTTATTTCCCTGCTCTGATCCATCAATTGATTTCACAGTTTGACATTTAGAAGACAATTTTATCCCCCCTCTTTCCAATTTCTTGGCAAGGTTCTGTCCCACAGCCCAATTTCTGGCCCTAAGTCAGATGTAGAAAATATTTAAAGCATAAATGCATTTTAAAACTCTTTAAAAAAAAACGATTTTATTTATTTTATTTTTAGAGAGGGGAAAGGAAGGAGAAAGAGAGAGAGAAATATCAATGCATGGTTGCCTTTCATGCACCCTTCTCTGGAGACTTGGCCCACAGCCCAGGCATGTGCCTGACTGGGAATCGAACCAATGGCCCTTTTGTTCGTAGGCCGGCACTCAATCTCCTGAGCCATACCAGCCAGGGCTCATTTTAAAACCCTTTAAATGTAGATTGGTTGAAACAAACTCAGAAACTTTTTCAGGTATTAGCAGTCTGGCCAAGAAACCAGATGTTATTTGAAGAAAATATGGATGGGTTGTCTCTTCGTATTTATTTGTAAGTTGAGAAGTAAGTTTTAGAATTGGATCAACTTCTTAAGATTTTTATTTTGCATTCAGATAGTTATGGAAAATCCCACTGATAGTTACTGTGGAATGACTAGGATTTTCCAGGCTCTCTTTACTCAGAGAAGATGGAAAAGATTAAACAACTTTATAAGCTTCAGATAAGACAAGCCTTAACAGAGAGTGGGAAATGTTAGTAAATGATAATGTTTTGTTTTTTGGTTCCATCTGTCTTTCCTGACTTCTTGATTAAACTCACAAGTATCATATTTGAAGACAAGGAAAAGCAAGATTTATTTTCATAATCAGTCAATACGTTGAACTTTTATGAAAAAGCAATGTAGATATTGAATTTGTTAGGCTATCGATAACTTACTGCTCCCACTTACAAAATAGTGCCTTGGGTCGTGGTGTTGCAATTAATAAAGCTACTTATGTAGAGTGAGAAGAGAGGCATTAATCTAATATATACAGATAATTCAGGGATAAATCTTAGAAGACTATTCAATAACCAATTCTAAAATTGGGCATAGGACCTGAATGAACAGACACTTCTCTAAAGAGGACATACACATGGCCAATAAACATGTGGAAAGATGCTAGTCACTAATCTTCAGAGAAATGCAAATTAAAATGACAATAAGGCATCATCTCACACATGTCAGAATGGCTACCATCAATATATCAACAAACAACAAGTGCTGGTGAGGATGTGGAGAAAAGGGAACCCTTGTGCACTGTTGGTGGGAATGCAGACTGGTGCAGCCACTGTGGAAAACAATAAGGAGGTCCCTCAAAAAATTAAAAATAGAACTACCATATGACCCAGCAATTCCACTTCTGGGCATTAATCTGAATAAATTCAAAACACTAATCTGAGAAGATATACACATCCCTACCTTCATTGCAGCATTATTTTTAATAAGCATGATGTGGAAGCAACCCAATGTCCAATGATAGATAATTGGAGAAAGAAGAAGTGGTACACATATACAATGGATTTTTCTCAGCCATAAAAAAAGTGAAATCTTACCATTTGTGATAACACGAGTGGACCTAAAGTGTGTTATACTAAGTGAAATAAGTCAGACAGAGGGAGAAAAATGTCATGTGTACACGTGGAATCTAAAAAAATAATGAACAGCAAAACAGAAAAAAGCTCATACTTACAGAGAACATTTTGATGGTTGCTATATGGGAGGGGGTTGAGGACTGGATGAAAAAGGTGAAGGGATTAAGTACAAATCGGCAGTTACAAAATAGTCATGGGG